GATTTGGGGATTGTCCCTGTGCAGTGTCACCTAATCTGCTTCTGCTCAGGCTCTAGTTCCAGATAAGAATTGATCTTAGAAGGTGAATGACTGTGCCTTGCCATTCTCTGGAGAGCTGGCTAGCAAAGGGGAACACCACTCCGTGGGCATCAGTACCCTTCAGACAGCTTGTTCAATCCATTTGGCACAAACCAATTGTTCTGTCTTAAGAGTGGCACCATAGGACAGGTGTGGATACATGTACCAGTTTGTATCAGGCTAGAAATAAGTTCATGTTAGTGACTGTCCGCTAGGTGGGGAGATCATGGATATGCTATTCAACTGTTCCATAGTCTTTGGAATGTATTTTGGAAAAACTATATTACCCTTTCCTCATGCTTCCTGGGAAATCAGAGGAAAATATTTCTAGTTATCAGTGAATGAAAGCGTGTCACAGCACAGAGCTTCTTTCAAAGGTCAGTTGTTCTGGATTTACAAATTACTCCATTGGAGGGGAAAATCAGTATAAATAACATTCACTTAACAGGGAATTTAAGCAAGCAAGTACTTCAGAAGAAATAGTTTTCATTGATGTTATTTACCCAATGTTACTAATTTTTTTTAAACTCACAGTCTAAGACTGATCTGTTAATCCTTTACAGGTTTTTCCACCTACCACATCAAATGCAGTGTTTTCCTATCAGACTGCACCAGTTACAACACCGTCACAATCTTTTATTAATAAAACATCAAACTCTAACATTCACACCGGTGGTAATCAGGTCCCCCCTGTGCAGAATGGACCTGCTACTCCCAGTAAGGTAAGGTCAGCCCCACAACGTTCTGTACAGTTCAGTTTTCTGTTATAATTCTTAAATAATGTGACTGTGTGTATACTGCAGTTCACTCAAGGAAGAATGTTTTGTAGATTTTAATAATATTTATAGTGTGCATATGTGTGAGACAGAAACTCTGATTACCTACACTAATATGTAGATGGGGGTGACAAAGTCTAATCTGTAGCCCTTGACACATCTTGCATTCCCTGAAGCATGTTATTTAGTCCTGACTTTGTTGTTTCTCACAGCCTGGCTCTCCATCCCAAGCCCAGCCTTACATTGTTCAGCAGCCCCTCTTCAACAACACAGTGTCCAAGACAAAAGATCCTCCTCGTTACGAAGAGGCCATAAAGCAGACCCGCAGTATTCAGACACCGCACCGTGAGGTTGTTATTTTCTCCTGCTTAGTCCATTAAAAACATTGTTTTTCTCTAGAATTATCAAAACCATCGCTTATTTTAGGTTTGTTTTAATTTAGTGTCAAGATTTGCTAACATACCCTCTTATTATTTTCATAACTGTGTTTAACTACAGAACTCCCATTTCATTATTCTTATATTAGAGCAAGTTTTAAAACACTTTTAGTTTTGAGACCTTCATAAAAGTTTTCACTTTTTCTAGACCTGGTATTGAAAGAATGGGTTTGTGGGGGGTTTTGTTACCTTTTGCTTAAGGTTCAGATCATAGAATCATAGAATCAGATATTCAGGAGATGGCTGATGATCAGGAGATGTTTAAAACAGAGATAAGAAATTCCTGAAAGCTTACCCCCTCTTTAAAAAATAAAGGAACATAAATTACAAATTGGGAAAAAAACCCAAACATATCCAATAAAATGTATCTTACATGATGGCCATTCACAGACTATCTGTGAGGGAAAGCAGTTCAGGGTGCACCACCCAAAGTCCTGCAATTAAATCTTGCCTTCATTGAATCTTGGTCATGCTTTTCAGATTTTTTTCCTATTCCTTTGTACTTAAACAGACCACAGGGATTACAAGTGTCTCTCCAAACTATTTCTCTGTTTTCTAGATTGACAATTGCACATTAAGCATTTTAGTCTTGATCATAAGTTATACTTATCTACTATTGAGAGAAGCCAGGAACAATCAGCTTAGGAAAAAATACTGCATGAAAGAGAATAACCCTGTTCTTCTCCTGCACTCCAGATTTCCAGTGCACACAGTCAGCAGATGGATGACCTGTTTGATATTCTCATCAAGAGTGGAGGTAAGCTCATGGACAACTGTGGCATGTAGACATTTAAAATCTGGTAATAAAAACTCAGTGCTACAGTCAAACAAAGAATTCCTTCAGGGAGCAGAATTAGAAGCTATCTGGCATGGATGAAGCTAAATTTCTGAAAGTTTGCAATAAGTACCAATTAAAGAAAAGATTTACCAAAACTCATAGAGTCAACCTGCTGTGGAATTTCACTGCTTGCAAATTAGTTCAGGGAGACCTTTGCCAAGTGAATAATCTGTACAGCATTCAAATGAATTAAGTAACACCTTAGATTAGCACAGGTATCAACATTGGAAAAGTTGAGCAAGTCCATATAATGTTTATTGAAATTATAAAACAAACAGAATAAGGTAAGAGTTAAAGCATGTTGATACTAAAATTTCATTAAATATAACACATCTTATGAACTGTAAACATCAAAGGTATGTTCCTGGGAAAAGTCTGTATGAAGTACATAGAGACATGAATGAATAACAGCGTTGTCAGCTAAAATAAGAGAGCTACCAGAAAGACACTGAAATAAGTAATAGAGGAAGTAGCTTGGCAATAAAAGGAGGTTTCAGGCATAATTAGGCTTGGTAGGCTAAGGAGCCATTACAATACTGGGAAATGCTGTGGTGCCCAGCAGTTCAATTCACGTAATGTTTTGTAACTACTGTCATATCAGGATCTTGACAGCAGTGCCAGGACAGCAGTGACTGATTGTGGGCTCCTAGAAGATTTTAGCCATATTCTAAACAGCAGAGCATTTTTGCTTTTTCAAAGCAAACCACAAAGTCAGCTGAAGAAAACGTGAGCAGACAGTGGCAAACGGAGATAAGTGACCTGTGCAGTGAACAACTCAAGCTAAATTAAAAAATGCTTTCAGTGTTTTATTAAAATATTGCCTGGGTAGTTCAAAGAAGTTCTGCCTCTGGCACAGGGAATGCAGGAAACATTGGTGTGCTTACTTCAATATTTGCTCTGTTACATTACTAAACCTGTTTGATCTGAAAGGAAACAACTGCTCCATATTTGCAAAGTTGCATTAAAAAGGCAGACAATTCCTGATCATCTTAGTGAAAAAACAAACTAAAGCACTCAGGGCTCTTGCACTTAATGTAAGCAAGCACTGCACTGAAAAATGTTAAGTTTACTAACCTATTTCAGGAGAGTGAGAATGTCTGTTCAGTAACCATTTAATAGATGCTCTTACAGGTTTTAAGGACGTGGGTTTTTGCTTGGAAAACTAGCACAGAATATATTGTCAGGTATATTTTTGCTGGCAGAAACATCACCTTGTGCTAGAGGATTTATTTGCATATCCTGGTCTGTTTTATTTTTAGACTTCATTCACATCTAAGAATAAATTGGAACTTATGCTTTATTTCCTTGTATTGTTACTGCCACTACCTTACATGGAACTTCTTGACAGAAGTGTAGTTTTAGTTCTAGAATCAGGAATAAATGCACCCTAATCACACGAGTTGATCTCTTGGACTTTTAATTAATCCAGGGGGACACAGTATTAACAGGGATGAAACTGAAAATTGGTTTGGGTACTCGTCTCTAAATGAGGAAATGTGTTGGTACCATGATTATTCTAGTTTGTCAGAAGAACAATAAACATGAAGGAGGTAAAGCTAAATCTGGATTTATGTTCCATTTTTCATCAATATTCATATACTAATTGGCTGAAGTATTGCTGGAAGCAGAACTCTGGAACTTGTTTTAAAATACTTTGTTGTTCACAGAGTTCCTGTCAAAGGCTGATGTGTGGAGCATTAGTATTGTCAGAGCAGCAGAGTGACTCTTACTCCATCTGCTGTGGATGCATCCCAGAGTGGGCAAGGAGGGGCTGAAAGTTGTGAGCATGGGGATATTATGTCATTACCTTTTCTGAATTCAACAGTGGTTTGTTGTTTTTTTTTTTAAATTACAGAGATTTCCCTTCCAATAAAGGAAGAACCATCTCCCATATCTAAAATGAGACCAGTAACAGCCAACATCACTACAATGCCAGTGAATACAGTGATATCCCGTCCACCTCCACAAATCCAAATGGCCCCTCCTCCTGTGTCCTTAGAACCAACCACCAGTCTGTCTATAAGTTTGGAAAACCAACTTGAAGCCCTCTTGGATGGAACTTTACCATCAGGTAATGAAATTCCTCAACTGACAGGCAGTAATGAGGACAGAGAGTCCTTTTCTCTAATTGAAGACCTCCAGAATGATCTTCTTAATCACTCGAGCATTTTAGATCACTCTCATTCACCCATGGAAACATCTGACCCACAGTTTACCACTAACAGTTCTTGCCTGTCTCTTGACCTTCCCGATACAAATTTGGACAATATGGAATGGCTGGACATTACAATGCCCAGCTCCTCATCTGGACTCACCCCTCTCAGTTCTGCTGCCCCGAGCGTGTTTTCCACTGACTTTCTAGATCCACAAGATCTACAGTTGCACTGGGATTAAGCTGTAGCCAATGAGAACATGACCTGCAAGTCTCTTCACAGCAGAGGTCCATTATCATACCATCCTGATTGCAGTTCAGATAAATTAAGACAGTAATGTTTGGAAGAACAAATGCTTGAAGCTGATTCCTTATTGATTTTCAAGTTTACAACAGTGAATTACATTATGCACCTACCAGTAATGCAGATCAGGGCCCTCTGAAAGCTGTATGTCACAAGTCAAGAGAGGATGATTGTACTTACTGATTAAAAGTACCCCAAGGTAAATGCATCACAAAGATTTAAGAAAGAAGTTATGTCTCTGACTTTGTAATGCTTAAATGAGCAACACAACGTGGCTAAACTTAGTGAGATGTCAGCTGTCTGTACTGACACAGCGAGCAAATATCTGGGGGAGGGGGAGGAATCACTGCACTTCATTGTTCCTGTGGACAGCCTGAGCCAGGGGCAGAATCCATTGGGAGGGCAAAGGCAAGTAGAAGCACTGGCTGGTTCAGTGAAATTTCATATATCTAATCTCTTAATTTGTTCAAGTTGTTTTTATATTTTGGTTTTGTGGTTTTTAAAACACTTCCCCCATTCTTTAATCATGAGGGAGGAATTTAACTGCATACAAAGGGATATTAAGTGTAACTGCAAGAAATCCACTGTAGCTATGCCAGGTAATATTGAGAACACTGAATTTTCTATAGCAATGCTCTGGATTAAATAGATAGGTTTTAATGTGTATATCAGACAGTTATTTGTATACTCTTTTAACATTACATAGCTTATTTTTGTGGACAGAGGGGAACACAGTGGTCTTCAAACAAGAGATTACTCTAATGGAAATAAATATCCTACTTTGCTTTGTGTTTGAGGATATTTGTTAGATCATTGAATCCAGTATCTCAGCAGATTAGAACAGTTTGAGGAAGTAGAAAAGTTTAATTAATGCTTTTGTACACTATGATCCTGCAAGCATCTATGCAAGAATAGTCCCAATGCCCCCAGTAAAAGATGTTTGTAGGATGAGATCAAGTTGCAGGGGACAGTACTGACAGGACAACCATCATTTTTTAATGAGTACTTTATCTATAGAACAGTTTTGTCTACCACTACATAACATCAGGGAAGCCAACAGAGAAGCTGCTCAGTGAGAATCCTAATAGTATCAGGATGTACTGTTTTGTGATAAGAAGGCATATTTCATACCTGAAACAGATAATAGCAAAAATTAAGCTCTTACCTCACAGCACAGCACATGAAAATACTATTTTTTTAAAGCCCTCAGTTGTTGTCTTCAGAGTCTATTATGAAAGCAGTTAGGAAGACGAGCAAAAAATGCAAATAGAATTAATATACTTTGACATTCTATGGTTGTCTCTCAGGTAATAGCTGTTAAATGTTGCCATAGATGATGGAGGCTGATAATCAAACAAAATTGGAATTATTTCTTACTAGGGAATTCTTAAACTAAGACAAAAGGAAACAGTCCCCTGTTTCCTGAAACAGGGAAACGTGGTATGTTTTCTGGTCTGAAAACGGATCTCATTGCATCATTCTTTCTTCCCCACTAACCTATAAAAATGTTTTGTAGGAATGAATGAACAAATGCCCTGAAGCTTTTGCTTCCTTCTTGGAATAATGACATGTATCAAAGAAATGCTGAAACCAGAAAGTAGCAGTTAACTTTATAGCAACCTTTATCACATTTTTAAAAAACACAATCAGTTATCATCAAACAAAATCCTTTTGCCAAAAAGTTTGTGGAATTAACTGCAAATTTATATCTCCAGATACAATGCAGTCTGGTTTACTACTACTACAGAATTCCATCGGCTTCAGATAAAACAGTGGATTATGTCTCTGATTCAGGGTTTAACCCCCTATCATATCTTTGCATCATATCAGTTACAGCACTTTAAATCATTATATCTCTTCACTAGTTTTACTGGCCAAGATTTACTTCAATATGAAACTAAGTACAGCAAAACAATCAATGGAGATTTTAATTACACCAAGTTGAAAGACATATTTCCTTATTCCTTCTTGCTGTGCCTCCAGTACTTGAGTACAGTATTACATGTGGACTGTCTGCCTTAAGCTTTGATGGTTTAGGACTCTTCGAGAACATTGAACACTCACATTCAACTTTTTGCATTCCTTTTTACCATACTCTCTTGGGAGCTAATACTCTGAGATACTAAGTGCCCTCAGCTGTTAGGAGAAAAAGAATTAAGGACTCCTGGTCTGGTAGGAACAACTCTGAATGAAATGTAGTGTTCTGCAGTACTGTCAGTTTATTATGTGTGATACACCAGACATCATACCACATTTGTGTGGTTAGAATTATCCCTTTTTGACCCTGCCTTCTGATTAAATAAGAGGCAAGTAAATTGATTTTTAGAGGACAAATTAACCTAGAGCAACTGTACTGTCATTTTTGATGTGCATGTAAATAGAGCTTGAAACTGGCAGAGTCATCTTGCTACCAAACTATCGTTCTTGGCAGTGTAGAATGTTAACTAACCCATAGGAATCTGTGTGCAGAAATAAACCCAAACAGTTGAGCTGTCTTGTTAGCAGTACAGTGTAGCTTTCTACTCTTTGAAAAAATAAATTTTAAAAATTAAGGGATCATTTTAGTTTCTGAAGTACAACTATTCTAGTGTAGGGAATGTGTGATTACTTTTTTGTACATTTCAGAATTGTGTATTAAACCTTATATAAAATGGTTTGCTTTAGACTTTGTTCTGAAATGTGATATGTTTGCCATAGTTGTATATGCCTGTTTATGGCAGAAATAGGTTTTGCTTAGACTTTTGTGTGTGCATGTTTTACATGAACATTTTTGTAGCACAAATACATCTTAGAAATTGAACCGTGACTGTGCAGTTGGACTGTACAGAACTGAATATTTCTCATTAAGAGAACAGTTGCAAAGGAATGCACTGGCACTCCATTTGCCATGTAATGGCTGCAGTGTACTAACAGAATGCATTCTATCAAATGTCTTGGTAGGTCCTTCAGAGTAATTAAGAACACCATTTTATCTGTGTGAAAATCAAAAGTTGGTGTTTACACTTCTAGACAGAGAGAGCTCAGACACGTTTTAAAGGCTGATGTTAATCAGGAGGAGTCACATCCTGCTTTCAGTGCAGAAATGGTGTTTGTTACACACTTCTAGTGCCATTCAGCAGCAGTTACAGCAAGCAAGTTTACAGCAAAATTCTGTTTGACATTATAAATAGTTACAAAAGCATTGTCATAAATACAGCAGTTCTCCCTGAGAATAAAATTAATTTATGGCAGTTGTTCTCTACAGAAATTTGGAGTGTAATCCAGCAATGTGGGCTTGCAAAATCTGACCTTTAAAAAGCTGAGGCCACAGCTTTTGGGAAGAATCACTAAATACTGGCATTTCTCTCCCAGGTATTTCTAAATTCACCAACAAGAGTCACGTTCAGGGAACGTGGTGATGATCAAAACAGAGTGGTCAGTATTAAACTTTTCTGTTACATAATCTCAAACATCCAGATGCCTCAAAAGTGTAGGCACCACAATTGGAACCGAGGCACAAGCTGCTGAACTATTTTCAAGACAGAGGAAATGCAATCACAGAATCCATTGAACTGGAAGGGCATTATGTAATCAAAACACAGGAAAGCTCACCGATGTAAACAATTATTATTATCTGGATGGCATCTTCAGTGTATTATAAACTTAAAGCAAACTCTATTAAAACTGGAAAAAAAAACCTCTTCCACTTATCTCCAGCAAATGTTCTGTTGAAACCCTTTATATTGTGGTCTATTAAATTGCCTTTGGATGACTTCTAGACCTCAGTGCAGATGGTATTTTATGTGAGATACGTGGAACTGAGTTGCACATAGTACATACATGGCCAATAAAGAGCAGCCATTAAAACCTGAAGTAATCTCAAATATTCCTTTTATACCAGTTTGCTAGGTAAAGTGCAAAAAAGAGACACCTACATCATTCTGTAGTGTCCAATACTGAATATAAAGACTTTTTAAGTTAAAAGTGCATAAATGTATTTGTAGAAATCTAGCCAAAAAAAAAAAAAAGCCATTCTAGCTATGAGAGCAAATTCTCAAATAAAAGCAGGGAATGGTTAATAACTATATAATCACATTATTTTTGTAAAAAATACAGCTCAGATATTCAAAAGACAGCCTAAAATAAATTATAATAATATAAAATTTAAATAGGAACCAAAGCATTGCCATTTATATTGCCAAAGGAGGCACTTTGTACTTTGAAGCATAGGAAATTAAACCCCCAAAAGTGTTACCCATACTTTTTTAAAAATCAAGGATGTAGATACTTTCAAAGCTGTTTTTGATGTTTAACAGTACAGATTTGTTTTTGTTGTTTGAGAAATTTGTAGTAAGTAATAGCACAGGCTTTTTTCCAGATAGGATTTCCTTCACAGAACTGCTTGCAGTAGGAACAACGCTAACCCCAGGAGCTGTTCCTCTTCTTGTTTTCACGGTCATAATTATGTCTTAGCATCTCATTTTGTGAAAAGAAGAAGACAGACACCTGTCTCTGGGGCCCTCTTCATTTAAGCACTACTTTACTAAATGCAAATTATGGCAATCAGGGCGTCAGTTTATGTATTGCCTTTCTATAAGAAACCATGATGCCTTTGTATTTGCTGTTTGCACCCCTGAAATCAATTCCATACGTTTGAATGCCATATGTTTTGCACATTGTACTGTATATATGTAATGCATACTGTATTTTTATATGTGTACTACATTTATCAAATATTTTGTACATAGTGGCAATATTGTAGCTACTGAGGAAATGTTTGATATTTCAGCATTTTTGCTAAGTGTCTCAAATAAAAAAGGAAAACTGTGTTCATTTGTCTGTGGTTACTTAAAAGTGAAAAATAACATGAATATTAATGAACAAAAATTCTTTTATGAGTCTGAAACATTTGGCCTATGTTCCAAGTACCTTTCTCACACAAAGGAGAAAGAATGAAATCTGCACTTAGACAAACTTCAAAAAACTTGATGATTTCTCTTCAAAACTGGAGCCAAAATCTCTAAGACCAGAGATTTTCTGAACTCTTAGACTTTGGTTTTTTTAAGCAGTACCATTACATAGACTCATAGAATGGCCTGGCTTGGGAGGGACCTTAAAGCTCATGTGGTTCCAACCCCCTGCAATGGGCAGGGACACCTTCCACTAGACCAAGTTGCTCAGAGCTCCATCCAGCCTGGCTCTGAACACTTCCAGGGATGAGCATCCACCTCTCTGGGCAACTCATCCCAGCATCTCACCACCCTCACAGTAAAGAACTTCCTGCTAATATCTAATCTAAACCTACTCCCAGTTTGAATCCATTCCCCCTTGTCCTGCACTTCAATTTATGACTTTCCTGGATTCTTCCAAGGTTTCCAAGATGTGCTGGTTTGTGGGATTTCATATTTGCAGTCTGCATTCTGCTGGGCTTGTGTTCAAGAACACCCCAATGCATTTCCTCAGGAGAATGAGCTATGAGCTGTTTGCACAAGCTTCTTTTCACGATGAAGCTGCTCCATTTCAATATTTACTTCCCCTTGTGAGGGCAGTCCCTGTGCTGATCACCCACCCTTTCCTCAGAGTCTGTTCTGCACTGATGACATCAGAACTCGGCCAAATATTAAAAAACCATAAAGCAGTAAAGCTGCACAAATTAAAAATTACTAATATGCCCTGTAAATTTCATAAAATATCTTTTCTCCATTGTAAAAGTTTGTAGGCTATATATGCCACTAACTTACCTTCAGCCATCACACACCTAACACAAATCCAGCACTTCTGGACTATGCATTTGTGCATTACAGAAATTCCAGCTGGAATATAACAGGCACTTGTTTTGGTGCCAACTGGCAATCTGGGGTTTTGATTGTTTTACAAAGAAATACAAACACAAAGCTCTTCCTCCCAAACTGTGTTCCTATTAGCATTACGATGTAAACACAAAAGAAGGTCTGATAAAACTTGAGATTATGCTGAGTGAATTTCTCCCACAGGCTAAACCCTGGTTTTCAATAAAACCCCAGTTTATTAAAACATGTTCTACAGGTGGCCATTCCTCACATTTGTCTTTACTCTGTACCACATTAAATGCTCTTTACTGCTGCCTATTGGCTTGCTGTGTATTGTACAACTGTTGCCAGTGATATATTTCTTAGAGTATTTGTACTGTCTCAAGTCAGAGATGTTTCTTTCCACTGAGACCTTCCTAGTCCAAAATCAAAATAACCAACTAGAGCACCTGAGACCCAACAGCTAAGGTCTGTTTTTTTGCCTCTAAGTGTTTATCCAAAAATGTACCAACTCTAAGAAATGCTTCCCTTCATGTAAAAAATTACCTGAAGAAGCGTCTCCAGCCTTCCCTGCAGATGAAGGACTGCGAGGCCACTCCACCACAGCACTGCATCATTCCTGAGCCCCTCCGAGACAACTGCTGTGGATTAAAAGTTAAGATGGTGAACAGAAATGTTCGTTCATAAAGCCAGGACAAAGTGTAAGCTCAAGTAATTGCTAACTGAGGAACATTCCAGCTATCCCATAACAAATCTTTATCAACTCAGCTGCACCAAATCTACATAAATACAATTATTCCCCAGGATCTCCTCAGAAGAGTTGGGGGATATGTCAAAAGGCTTGGTTTTGTACATGAAAACAGACATCAAAGACTCTCCTAAAGCAACACCTCCACCTCATATGAGTGAGGCTTAGGGGAGGAAGGAAAAAAACCAGGTGATTATTTTCTCCTTCCAACAAAATCTCTGATGTTATCTTTCAGCAATGGAGTCTTCCAAAGACTTTCCTTTAGGAAGGTCATGTGTTTAATAAAAGGTTGTGTCAGGAGAGAACACTGCATGAGGAGGATTCAGCATGAGGAGAATTCAGCATGAAGAGGAAGGGCTTTCCCATGGAGCTCAAAGAAGGGTAATGACCAGCAAAAAAGACACTTCCAAACAAAAGTATTCAGACAGCAGAAGGGCAATTACATGCTTTTTAAATAAAAATTGCATTTTTAGTTATATAAATTATTGTTGTGATAAATCAGTTCACCATTAAACAGCAGTTTGTTTAGACAGATAGAAACAATTTTTCCAGGCACTGTGAGGAACTTAGGGAATAGCCAAATTTTGTAAACCAAATCAAGTACTTCCTCCTAATCTACACAGAAGATCCTTATGATTTCAAATTGAAGTTTCCATCTCCCCATACAGTTAAGGAAGAACTTGATCAATAGAAGTTATTTTGCCATTAAATACTATTTCTGATGCCAACCAAATGCATTTATTAAAAATGTAGTGTGTTTGAAGAGATAAAACTCACATGAATTCCACAAACAATTCAAACAGCCCCCTTTGTTTCTCCCACCACAAAATCACCTCTCACCTCACAAAGGTCCAAAAGCATGAATAAATCAAATATATGTGAGCTGCACAGGAACTGTGATGGCAAGTTACTTAGCCAGCCCATCAGTCATGTCTGTAGGGATTGGAAAATAGGACTCATCTCCTTTGGGACAGCTATTCCACGGCAGGAGCGAACACGCTTGACAAGGGCTGACTATTCAGTAATGTAATGTGACACCTTTCACTGCAGGTGCAACTAATTCAGATTGCTCTGTTTGCTCCAACACAGGCAGTATAGAGTTATCACAGAGAAGCTGAAAAACGATAACTTTTAAAGCATGAGAACTTGTTCATGCACTCAAGCCATCAGGCATGAGTTTCCCTGATGAGAGTTCAAAAAACATCCCAAGAGGATACAGAAGTATTTCCCTGCTAATTACAGGGTGGTTCAGCTAGATGACCTTTGAAGGTCTCTTCCAAACAGAACTATTCTGGTTCTGCATCAATTTTTTAATGCACCTGCTTTACAGGACCACCAAATTAGCAACTCTGATCTCAACCTTTACAAAGGTACCTCTGTAATATGTTCACGTGCTTCTTCCACAAAAAAACCCAAACCAAAACCAAAAGGGATATAAAACTTGGGTGTTCAGCAGAAGTTTCATGGAGAATTTAAAGGGATCTCCATTAAAGTAACATTAAAAAAAAAAAAAAAAGAAAGAAAAAAAAAACACACAGAAAAAACCCACAAACATTAAATGAAAACTAAAAGCTTTGCTTTCGGGTCACACTTGTAAAAATCTAGGAGACGAAATCTAGAAAAAAAAATGTATTTTAGTATCTTTTTTGTTTCCAAACAGTGAGTTTTTGGAGGGAACAGCTACCAGGTAGCGAGTGCGCTTAAGTTAGCATTTACCATTTAATTATCCCAACGTTTTCAATTTCTGCTTCTCTTCTCGGGGGAGGAAAGTTTCAGTCCCGCTTTGTCCCCTCTCTCCGGTGTCCTGACCGGTCCGAAGCGGCTGCACCGCTCGGGTGCCATCTCCGGGCACGGCGCCCTCACGGCCCCGGGGCCGCTGAGGGCGAGCGGGACGGGCAGAGGGCGGTGCCCTCAGGAACGGCCCCGCAGCTCCCGGGGACAGC